GCACCAGAGGGGGGCCCCCCCCCCCCCACCGCTGTCGCCGCTGCCGACCCGGGGCTGGCCGGGGCTCACTGGGAGGCACCCCCAGAGAAACAGAAACACACACTGACTTTATACCAAACCTAAAACACTAATAAAAGCATTTTTATATAAAATTAGCAATTCTTTTTTAATCCCTAGCAACACTTGTGAGGCTGGAAGTGAACTCTAGCAGTCTTATTAAGTCTTGGCAATAGCACAGATTATGGTGTGAAATGAAGCAAGCATTTCACTTTTGTGCCAGTCTGTCAATAGTAATATGGAAGTTTCTCCAGGTTTGTCAACAAATGAGTAGTATGAAGGGGTTGGTTTGTCCTTAGGAAAGGTTTGTGTTACTCCAGGCATACTCAAAGACTAATTCATCCCAAACAGTTATTACTGTTAGGCAATAACGCCCTTAAACCAAGCATTTCAGCAACACAAACTCCTTCCAGCCCCTCAAGGGAACCTGCAAGAAACACGAAGAGGGAGTTTTTGCAAGGGAAGGTAGAGACAGGACAAGGAGGAACAGCTTTAAACTGGAAAAGGACAGGTTTAGATTAAATATTAGGAAGAAATTATGTCAGAACCCAGGACATCCCTCTGGATGGCTCAAAGCCCTGGCAGGGGCGTCAGAGACCCTGTCAGAAAGCCAAAGACACTTGGGAATTCGATCTCAACCCATGGAGCAAATTACCAACTTCATATGAAGAATTACAAGTCACAAAAGTTTAAGTAGCATAACAGTAGTTGTCACAGGGCGAAAGGTGACATTTTGAAGAATTTTATTATAGGAGTCTAGGGGGACAGGATGGAGGGATTTGGGCGTTGTCCTGTCCTTTCTTCTTCTTCCTAGCCTCCATCTTCTTGCTGATGGTGGCATTTTGGGATTGGTGCAGAGTAGAAAGTCACTGTCTAACATAGGTGATAGGTATTGGAAAATAAACTGTAAATATCAAATACGTGGTTTGTAGTATAAAAGACACCACCAGCCCCGTGGGTGGGGAGTGTTCCTCGGACCGACCTGCAGAACAGACCTTGGCAGGCCAGACAGAAAATGTTTTAGATAAGAAATAATAAACGACCTCGAGAACGACAGCCAAAGACTCCTGATCTATTCTTTGACAGCTGGGTTGGGGAAAAAAGACATTTTAACACACCTTGGGATCATCTCAACCAGAGAAAACCCCAAGAAAATTATTCACTGATGGTGAGGCCCTGGGTCAGGAATGGCTTTAAACTCACAAACAACAGGTTTAGATTAGATATTAGGAAGAAAATTTTCACTCTGATGGTGAGGCCCTGTGTCTGTTTTGCCCAGTACAGTATTTGGTGAGTGGTCTCTCCCTGTCCTTCTCACAACCCATGAGCAAGTATGTTTTCTCTCCACATCCAGTTGCAGAGTGCAGGCATAGAGCACCTTTGGTGGGTGTCTGGCATCCAGCCATGGTCAGCCCACTACACTGCTCTAGTGGGAGGTGCCCCTGCCCATGGCAGAGGGGCTAGAACAAAGCGATCTTTCAGATCCCTTTCTACCCAAACTATTCTAGGATTCTATAAAGCTATCTACAACAGGGAAGTGACATTCCCGTACAGTGACCAAAATGCCCAGTATATTTCAAGATATTCTGAAGTTGTGTATGAAAGGCAAAAATGAAGGCAAATATAGAGCACAGAGATCCACTGTCCAAAGGTGGAGACTTGACACATTTGTTTCAACACACTGCATCAGAGCTACTTACATTACAATTTGTTTCACCTGTCTTGCCAAACAGCTCCATGCTTTTGCATTTTCTTTCCAGCCAGCATAATCCAAGGCTGCAAAAATAACTTCTAGGCCCAGTTGATGTTTTTTTCTTTTCTCTGGAAAAATATGAGGCTGATTAATGAATTACACAGATCAGGATGAACTCATTAGTAATGCACAAGTGAAATACAGTTCTTCACTCTGCCCCCCCCCCCCCCCCCCCCCCCCAATAATTCTGCTACTTTAAACATAAGTTATGTTTATTGGTATAAATTTCTTTAAAATCTCCAAGTTGTTCTCATTAGTTATGAAAGAAGAATCATGGTTTGGGTTGGAGAAGACCTTAAAAATCATCACGTTACAACCCCCTGCCATGGGCAGGGACACCTTCTGCTAGAGATGCTCCAGCCATCCTGGCCTTGAACACTTCCTTCAACACTGTGGATGGGGCATCCACAGCTGCCCTGGGCAACTTGTGCCAGTGCCTCACCACCCTGACAATCAAGAATTTATTCCCAAAATCTCTTCTAAACCTCTCCCTGTCAGTTTGAAGCCATTAACCCTCATCATATCAGAAGAGAGAACAATCTTTATTCATGTACATTTCACCAATCTGTTGACCTGCTGGGACATACCAAGCCACAAGAAGACAGACAGCTTGGAATACAATTGATCAGCATGGAAAAAAAATAGTCTTCAGATCAGAAGACTTTTCTACCAGCTTGAAGATAATGCTCCCTTAAAGAGAAGGAAATTTTTGTTGTTTGATCATTAACAATGAACTAAAGAATAGATACATTCCAAGAAAGGAAAGAAAAAATAAAACAAAGATCCCAAAAATCGAATGAAGACCTTGGAATTCAGAGTAGGGTGCCTAAAAAAAATTAAGTTGTTTTTGAGATCCTGCCTGTGCATTACAACTGCTTGCTTTAAAATAAAAAAGGCATTTGTTTACACAAATTTCTAAGTGACTGCTCATACATCCATCTAAGAGGTTATGGTGATTGAAAAGTTGGCATTTGAGTTAGGTTTTTGGAATTATTTCTTAAAAAACAAAACTACTTTCAAAAGCAGAAAGAAGGCGGTAGGATAATCCGGAATAGTTTTCTGAAATTAGCATAAATGAAATGAACAAAGGTAAAGACTTACTTGATTTTTGAAGCATGGTATTAAAATCTATCATTAGTTCATGAGAAGGAACAATATCATGCAAGATCTGAAAAATAAAAAGACAAAGCCCAGATAGGTTATTTTAATGTGAAAACTTTTGAAGACTTCTATCTGACCAAGAAAAGCACAGGTTTCAGAGCTTCAGGTGCTTTTAGTTCAGAAAATTTAGCAATCTTTATAACTTAGTTACAAAGAATGGATCTCTAGGTCCATTTTGCACATTTGTGACACTGCTCTGTGACACCACAGATGAAATACCTTGATGGCTGCTGACAAACACTGCATGCGGCAAATACAACATTCTGAAGGAGCAGCCCAAATCCATATCCAGTGTCCCCTTTTTTGAAGGCAATGTAACTTTCTCCTTAGGACAGTTCTAGCTCCCCTGTCTACTGCTCTGTGCATTGGATCTGTTTCTGGACTTATCAAACAATTTCTATGATTTATCTCTGTTTTTTAAGAGACTCATGTCTAAAGCCACTGCTAAAATGCAGAGGAGAATTTCATGCAAATCTGCTACAGTATCAAAGTCTAAAACAAACACAACAGCCTTACAAACCTGTTTTTAAACAACACTTGCACTAACAAAAGCACATTAGTGCCATCAAGTGGCAGAGCATGGTTTGCAAGGAATACCAAGGGCAAGGAAAGCAGGAATGTAAAAGCTTAACCCAACAAGGTCTTGTCTGCCAACAACCAGCAGATATTAACTTTTAGCTTTAATGCACAGCGCATTGAAAACAAGCAAAGAAATTAATTGCTAGACAGGATCAATACGTTAAAGAGAAGGTATTTAATAATTTGTACAATATTGTAAAGATCAAACCTGTAAAAGAAATCAATGCATGATATGCACAAGTCTGCTGATACAGACTTCTGGAACCACATGGACATGTTCTCTGAGCTTGCTTACTGCCTTTAAGTGATATGGTGTACTAGTTAAAGGCAAAACAAGAACTGGAATTCAAGGACAGTAAAGGACTCTGTTCCCTCCCACTAACTTCCCTGTAACCCACTATTTCCCACACAGAATACAATAGGATAAATAATGTTACAGAACTCAAGCAAGCTGTCAGACCACCCCGTGACTGACACAGACTGTATCTCCTAAGGGATACCTACCTTCAGTGCAGATATGAGGGATTTCTTTGATTCACCCTGCCTCTTGAGGAAGTGATAGAGGTAGACATGGGCATTGGGGTTAGCAGGGAACTTTGAGTTGTAGGCATATTCATTTAACACTTGGCGGGCCTCATTGTGGTCTCCATAGAACTCCAGCAACTGGAAGTTAAGTCTGTCATTAGTTTGTCAGATACAGGCAACCAAACTCTTACAACTAATTCTGGACTGCCACAGATCCATCCAGCAGCACAGTCTGTATATAAGAGTGCAGTGTATTAGATAATGTATATTTGATAATTAGATGCTTGCCCATCTTAATTTTACTGGCTGCTCTCAGTACAGAGAGACAAGAATTCACACACAGAAGCTACTCAGGGAGAAAATGCCTTAATACCTACTTAATTGTCAAAGGATTATCATCCCTTGCTCACTGGAAAGAGATGCTGAAGGCACCTGCCCTATCTCTAGAGACAGAACTTGGCATATGCCAGCACCAAGGAAAATTCTTAAGATGTGCTGTCCTAGATTGCCAAGCAATGTGTATTCTATTTGCCATCTGTTAGAGGTAGGGCAGTTATCTTCTGTTAATTAGGCAGTTTTCCTTATCTCTTCCACAACCCATCCTCCCTCCAGAGAGATATCATCTGTTAATGGGCCATTGAATGTCACTGCATGGCTGATAAAATTACAGCATCCCATTGTGAGATGCTCCACCCAGAGGGAGGAGCCAAGCATTCCTAACTAGATATAATCTGAGATTCTGCAACAGCAGAACAGCCTTTCCACTGGATTCCCAGAGGAACAGCTGCCTCTTCCACTAGATCTTCAGAAGAAGACTATACCCTTCTACAGGATCACTGCTCCAACACAACCACATCTGCTAGTCCAGGAGAACTGCAGTCACAATTCCAATTGGACTACTACCAACACCCTGACCCACAGGGTGTCAGGTTGTATTCTGACTCTGTCAGTGTTGTTTTGATTTACTGCATTGTTTATTTTATTTTCTTCCCTAATAAGGAACTGTTATTCCTGCTCCCGTATCTTTGCTTGAGAACCCCCCTTAATTTCAAATTTATAACAATTCAGAGAGAGGGAGTTTACATTTCCATTTCAGGGGAGGATCTTGCCTTCCTTAGCAGACTTCTGTCTTTCCAAACTGAGACACACGTTTAGAGAAGTCAGAATTTATCAGTGTCCACAAGAAGTAAAAGATCGCATTAAAATTACTAATTCTTAATTACAAATTCTAAGCAGATATTTAAAAAAGCCAAACCAAAACACAGAGGGCTGCATATTTGGCATCTCTAACATTTCATGTATCCAGAGAAAACACTGCCCTGCCAAAAATCAAAGTGTTTTCAGGAATTTGAACTAAAGCAGCTATGTTCCAATTTTTGCAGTCCCACAAAAACAAAATATGTAAATATGTTTGTCTATTTCTTTTTCTTGACAATGAACAGATAAAAGTTCTTTTTGTACTGTGCTCAGGCTCTGCAGCTCTACCAGGAGTACACTGTGCTCTACATCAAAGCCCATGACATGCACATACAAATGTGTTGCTTTTGAAATACTTTGTTTTCACTCACACACACCGATAATAATCTGCATATGGGTATCTTTATGAAAATTAGACAAGGAAACATAAAAGAAAGCCATCTGTAATACATGCCCTTACATCCACATAGCATTTCACAAAGACATCCCAGACTCCAGGTATTTTAATAATTTCCTTCAAGTTCACTGCTGCCTTCCGGAAGTAACCGTGCATTTCCTGCTCAATAGTTAATTCTGCAAATCCATCCTCACCTACCAAAACACAAAGGAAGGTCACAAATTTATTAACTCTGCCAAGCACAGGGATCTTGAAGTGCTGCATCTTAGGGATGATCACATTTTGCTAAGCAAGGACTCCAGTCAGAGAGCTTTTAAGAAAAGACTCCTCAGTACTGAAACAAGAAATTTTCACTGTTCCTCATTCAAATTTATAATCAATTTCAACTTATGGAGCACAATGAGTAGGATGTCAAGAGAAGATGCTACCAGCGCAAGGTCCATAAGCCAAATTCAACATCTGGTTTCCAGAGAATGAGATCTAGTGCAAGTAATAAAACACTGCCAGTAGATATATATAGGACCAGATGTGACACATGTAGCAACTTCCACATCTTTAAGGAAACCGAAATTCAAACACAAGTGTTGAGGGCTTTGCTATCACTCAATATTCCAGCAGCAATCAAGCACTTGCACACCTATTAAACCACTGCTTTAAGGGAATGCATTCCTTTGATGATTATTTAAGGTGATGCTGGCTGGACATGGGGAGAAACAGTTTCAGAACAGCATTTCAGGGCACTTCAGAAAGTGCTATTTTGGCACTACTATAATTGCTAATACAGAATTCTGTACCAGCCACACATTACACACTGAAGTATGGTAAAGGAAAAGGTGTCATTGCAAACCACGGCACCTGCATGAGCAAGTTGAAGCTACAGCTCAATCCAAGAAACACTTACCATGCTCTAACAGGATTTTCTTCTGCTTAGACCAGCTACAGTAGTCTAAGAGTCCCCTGTAAGCCTGAATCAGCTTCATTTCCTTATCCTGAATAGCTGTTTGCTCTCCAAACCTCCAGCTTTCTGCCAGGGACAGGTTCTGATAGGCTTCATCTATTTGTCCATTACAGAGGAGATGGAAGACATGCTCCAAGCAGACCTGCAACCCAAACAGTCCAAAACACAGGGTTCCACACTCAAATGCAGAGATTTTCAGCAATACAGCAAAGTTCTACACATATGCGCAGAGAAAGAGGAGACTTACTGACATGTATAAAAATATTGCCAAGACATGTAATGAAGAATTTAAATTATTTGTGTTACCTCAAAAACCTGCTTGTCTTTAACATGTGCTGTACCTATTTCAGAAGATCTAAAAATGACCTGAGGAAACCCAGCTGGGCTGCCTTTACTTATTTTTCAGAGCACCTGAAAGAGGGATGTCCTTCCACGCTACCATGTTGATTTGGCACCATAAGATAAAAGCCTAAACCTTCAGTTAGCTCCAGAAAACCCTTGTATGGAACTTCTTTTGAAGACCTTTAAAAACAGGATAAAAGACAGAAGCACTATCCCAAGTGCACAACAGCCAAGGAAATCAACAATATAGCTTTGAATGAGCCACCAGAAGAAAAAATCCATTTAAAAAAGTCCACAGCTGTGTAACATGGGTGTGCACAACATACAGTTTTATAATCAGATTACTCAAAAAGTGAGAGGGTAATGAGGCAAAATTTAAGTACAAATGTTTAGTCAGCAGCACAGTGGTCAAATTAAAGACTGGAAATAAAACTTGGCAAGTAATTGCCTGTATTTATATGTCATTGGGACGTGCATGAAAATGAATTTGACCATTTCAAATTCAAATTAAAAGATAAAAGGGTTTTTAAGCACTTCTAAGGATTGAGAACATACATCTGTGATCAAACATGCAGACCAAATGAGATGAGGTTAGGTATAAAATGACCATTGAATATCATGCAATTGATAATTCAAATGTTGGGTTTGAGTTTTTTTGACACTAATGTCAGTAGTACATTGCAAAAGAGATCTGGAAGTTAATATTCAAGTAAGTGTTCAGATAAATGTGAAAAATCATCAGGGCTGCTTTAAGTACACTCACCTTCAAGTACCTTTTTACTCCTAAAGTTTTCATCTGTTCCATGAAACAGTTGAATTCTTTCATGCTGCTTTGGGAATGATGCCACAATATTTCAGTCCCTATTCTCCAAATCATCTGTTAATGGGGAGAAAGAAAATCAAAACCAACTTTAGTACAAAAATGGCAACAGACATCACATACAGTCTTACTAAACTTATAGTTACTGTAGAACATGAAAAACGTACATTTGAGCTGCAAATAAAAAATACTACAAAGCATTATCTACTGCTAATAATCTAACCTACCTACTCATCCAGCAGGCCTTTTAGAGTCATTCAGTGGTTCAGAATTGCTCATTATAAATGCAAAACTCCAGAAGAGTTTATGAAAACTGCATGCCAGAGGGTTCCTCCTTGTCTCACTGAAAAGTTATGTTCCTCTTTGATATGACCCCCACTAAGATACCAAGTATACACAACTATTTGAACTTAATAGCCAAGATTATTTCCAATTTGATATAGCTCCCCAACTACATCCACTTGTTTCCAAGGTCTGCAAGCTAGCCATACTCAAGTACTCCATTTATTTAAAAGCTCTGATCCTTTTCCTTCCACCTGCTTCCATCTCAACACCTGCAAGGAGTTTTGCAGCTACTGCAAAAGCTGGTAACAACATAAATAAGACACCAACTTGCAAACAGATTCTGAATGATGACATGCCAGAACCAAACACAGTTACTGCTTTCCCATTTTAGAGGACTACTTTGACTTTTCATAGATACACTGCTGATAGAGTGAAGTTATAGCAAGCCAAGTCTTCTTCTGTTGTGTCAAGGATCTATTTAAAAAAAAAAATCAAGCCTGTAATTAGCTAATTAAGTATATGCTGCTTTTCAAGTATTTTTTCAACTGCAAAAGAACTCAGGGAACATGGGCTTACCTCTGACGGACCAATGTGTTCTCTGGAATAGTCCTTCTCTAGTGACTCAACATAGCAGGTCAGGAATTCTGCAGCCCTTTTCCACTGCTTTTGGAGCAAGGCATCCTGAATGTAACTTAAACACGTTTCCTTGCTCTTCTTGAAGTTTAACTTGTGTTCATTGGAAGATACTAAATAAGAAAAAAAAAACCAAAAAAAACAAACCACAACAAAAAAACCCAAAACAATAGCCACATACTCTCCATTTCAGCATCCTTCTTGTATGGACACTATAAAGAGTCATCTTAAGCTCTGTGGTTTTGAAGATAAACAGGGAAGCAAGACTATGGGACAAGCTGGAAATGTGATATGGAATTACATTTTCCATAAGCAGCACATCTGTGCTTGAAATTTCCATTCACTTGAAACAGTGAATAGCCAATTATGTCACACTATTACCCTACTAGAATCAGGGAGCGTGGTGCTTTGATAACTTCACAGTACATTTTGTCATATTTTGGGAACTACTCTCTTCACTTATTAGTCATCACCTAAGTTTGTGATGCCATGATGCTGCAGATTTGCATGCACACAAACAAATAAGACTGTTCCAGTACCAAAGGCTAAACAATTCCCACAAAGATAAACATATAGAATTATTCTCATTTGAGTATAAGGCTGCAAAGAGGCCCCGTGGCCTTTTTACATCAACAGTAGTTCAATTTATACTGAAACCAGCACGAAACTGAAACTTCATTTCCATGAAGTGTGTTTAAAGCTCACAGCTGTATGACCCCACAACAATGCTCATCCGTAAAAAGCCACCTACAAGGCACACGAAAAGCTCACCAAGACACCTCCTACCTGGATGCTGTAGGCAGAGCAATAACTCAAACAATGGCTAAGTCAGGTAATCACAGAACCATTAGAGTTAGAAGGGACCTCTGGAGATTATCCTGTCCAACCAGCTGCCAGGGCAGAGTCACCTGGAGAAGGTGACACAGGAAGGTGTCCAGCTGGGATCTGAAAAAGTCTCCAGAGAGGGAGACTCCACAAACTCCATGGGCAGCTGTTCCCGTGCTCTGCCACCCTCAATGTAAAGATCTCCTTCATGCTGAGGTGAAACTTCTTGTGCTTTAGTTTATGGCCACTGCACCATGTTCTACTGCTGGGCACTACCGAAAAGTCTGGCATCATGCCCTTAGTACCTGTCTTTGAGATATTTACATGCATTAATGAAATCCCCTCTCAGTCTTCTCCACACTAAAGAGGCCCAGCTCCCTCAGTCTCTCCTCATAAGAGATGCTCCAGACCTCGAATCATCCTTGGTGCCCTCTGTGGGATGCTCTCCAGGAGCTCCATGTTTCTCCTGTTTCAAGGAGCCCAGAAATGGGCACAACACTCCAGATGTGCCTTACCAGGGCTGAGTAGAGCGGAATGATCACCTCCCTCGACTTGCTGGCAGTGCTCTTCCCAATGATACCATGGGCCCTGCTGCCTGCAAGGGCACGCCGCCCGCTCACCAAATAACCACGGTTATTTGGAACCTATTTCCCGGCGCTAACATTAGGCGGATAGAAGCTGAAACTCTGCCACCATTCCCAGGGTAGCACGAAGGAGTTCACAAAGAGAACATACCAAGCGCTCCGCCCTTACCCGGCTGCGGCGGCAGGAAGGGCAGGGGCAGGGGCGGCTGCAAGACCGCCTGAGAGGCGGGGCTTCTCCTTCTCTTCCCCCTCACTACCACTACCGGCGCTTCCTCATCCTCTTCCAGGAAGCTGTCCATGGCGCCAGGGTCAGCCGGGCTCCGACCTCACCTTGCAGCTCACAGGGGCGGGAGGTGCCGGCCGAGCCGAACACGGGGACTCAGCAGGGGCCGGGTAGGCAGCGGCCGGGCCGGGCCGCGCCCTCAGGCCGGCACCTCCCCGCAGGCAGCAGGGGCGGGAGTTCCTGGCAGGCGCGACGTCCCCGGAAGCGCAGGGCGGGAGCGGCCCCTGCGCCGTGAGGGGCGGGGCTGCGCGGTGCCTGCGTGGCGTTTCCCTTCTCCTTGCGTATGGGGAAATGAGAGATGCGGGCCAAGGGTGAAGCATGAGGGATGAGGTGGAGCATGGGGCGTAGCTGGGTGTGTGCAGCGGTGTAGCAGAGGTGTTTATTTCTAGATGTACAGCAGTCAGAGAATGACTAGAACCGTGGATAATGCCCTGGTTACTCCAATGATAAATTAGTGAGCTTCTCCTGTTACTCTTTCCATTAGCTGTATTGCTATTTTCCTGTTCCTTTGTAACTCATTACGTTCTACAGAAGGAAGAGATTAAGAATCAAAATCCTGTGCGTTGTAGAGCAATGATGTTGCCTGTGCTCCCGCACAGATTTTGGGAATCCATCTGCCTTAGCCACAGCAGCTGGTTTATACAAATCTGTGCTGGAACTTCGTTTCTTTAAACCACTTTGGAATTGAGTTTGCCCTGAACTGTTTTGATGTGTACAAAGTCCAGTTTACTGCATAAGATCTTACTGAGTTGTTTTGGGTGGGTTTTTGTTTGTTTGTGGGTTTTTTGGTTTGTTTTTGTTTTGTTTTTTGTTTTGTTTTGTTTGGGTTTTTTTTCAGAACTGCCCTGGCATAGGAGAGTGAGTAAATAATAAACTGGCTCAGATTAAAAGTTCCTGTGATGGACTGTCTTGGTTCAGCTGTGATCAATAAGCAGTGTTGGGAATAGTGCAAGGCAGAACAGTTGTGTGCAGCATTTAAACACTTAAACCTTAATATAATAATTTAATATGGTATTTAATAAATCAATGTGGGTAAAACAGAAGTCACCCTTTGCATTTTATTTATTTTTAATCCTGTGTTCTTCCAATAAAGGCCAGCATTTCAGTTTATAAGTGTTGTTATTAATGGATAAGTAACTTGATTGCTGACAATAAATTGCTATGTAACACCACATCTTTATCAGTGCCATTTTATTTGACTGTCCTTTATAATTTGTACCTTGTGTGAGTGCCTCTCTGATCACTGGTGTTCCCCAAGTTTGATGTCAGTTCCTACAACACTCCTGATCTTCTGTTAGCTCAGTATTCTAATTTCAGAATCCAACTTATCCCTCAATTTTTGGTAAAAGTTCTCACATTTGCATGCAAGAACACTTACTTTTGGCTTGTTATTTTTATTTTCCTGTGTCATACATAAGTGAGTTGTCACAGTTATATTCCCTGAAAAAACTCTTTGCCCAGGATTATTCTCCTGGGACGCTGAGAAGCCTCAGAGAAAAATGAAAACAATAATTAACCGATTTACTTTTCCTGTGTTTTGTTGCTTTGGAATGTGGTTTAGACATTGTTTACCAACAGGTGCATATTTTATTGGTTTCATGTGAATTGTTTTAACTTAATGACCAATCACGGTCAGGCTGTGTCCAGACTCTGGAAGGAATCTCAAATTTTCACTATCATTCTTTGTAACCTTCTGTCTGTATCCTTTCTCTAGCTTTCTTTAGTATAGTTTAGTATAGCATTCTTTATTACAATATTATAGAACATAAAATAATAAATTAGCCTTCTAAAAACATGGAGTCAGATTCATCAATTTCCTCCCAACAGTGGGGACCCCAGAAACTGCCACAGTGAATGTTTCCTGATCCTCAGGTAAACTTAGCCAGTTTATGATCTTGTTAATGGGTATCCGCTACTTTAGTAGCTATTTTAGTGCAGAAGAGATAGGAGAACTGCTTTGTAAGAGTAGGTGAATTTTAGATACCTCGTATACAGTGGAACTACACTCATAGCTGAATACATACTTCCAAGACTGGGGTTGAAAACTGGAAAGAAATTTTGCCTGAAATATCTTAATTGAACTAAGTGAAGTATTTTTCTTTTCTTTCACACATTGAGGAAAGCTAGGTATGTTAATAAGTGGTTACCTTATTACCCTGAAATACTTGAAATTGTAGGAAATACTTGACAGTTGCAGTGGTAAACTTGTGTATACGTATCAACTGCAAGCTGCTCATTATTGTACAATAAAGGCAGTGACTTATACAAGAAGTATGTGATTTTGTTTGTCTTCACATTTCCCTTTCTTGCTCTTGTTTTTACAACCACAGACACCTTTTATTACCTTTTATCTTGGTCTTTTATAAAGATAAGCTTGATAAATTGTATTGATGGAAAATGACCAAACAGCTCTTTCTTCACAAGAAATTGGACCTAATTCTGTGGGCATTACACAAGAGGAAATGTTAAAGTTGAGGAAAGAATGTTTATCTTTCACTCATACAATTATCCTAAAATGTGTCTTGATTGAATTTATTTCCATATTGTAAGTTGTGACAAACTTGTAGATTTCAAAACTTCTTTTCTGAGTTAGGCTTTCTTAGAGCTTTTAATCAGCCAACATCAGTGATGACAAATAGGTATCACCTCATTCTCTAAGATGTGAAACAAGAATGTCAACACAATTGCAGGAGAGCTACAGCCGCTATACTGCGCTAGGCCTGGAGAAAACACATGAGCACTGGGTGAATGAATCATTGCATTCCTGTAGTGTGTGGGTCCTGGGGATACACAGGACCATAAGAAATGCCAAGATGTCCGTAGGATGCTGGGCAAGGAGGTACCAACACCTGTTTCTACCTTGACACTTTTTCATAATGTGATTAAAATATTAAACTGCTCTAGGTGGGGGCTGAAAAATGAAACATGTATTTTTCAGAGATTACACAGCAGTAACTAAGCCTGGATCTAAGGCCTTGTAGAATGAGACTGTGGAAATGAGTCTGGAGCGAAAATCAATAGGCATGAAGATGCAAGAGGAACACATGCAATTAGCAACAGTGATTGCTAAGTCTTGAGATGTAGCATTTAAAAGGGCTCTTTAAAAGTGCTTGGAAAAAACCCTCAGCTGCTTTGACAAGCACCAAAAAAATTAATTATTCACCTTGACTATCAGTTGTGTGAGTGCCTATTCATTTTGGGAGCAGCTTCAGAATTTGCTCTGGAAAATAGAAAAAAATACAAAAAATGTAGTAATTTGATTTACCAGCAAGAGGATTCTCTTATGTCATCTGTCCTTTCTTACCTGCATCTTTTATTCTCTGTCTACTCAGGCTACTGTGCTGAACAAATAACATGGGTCTGAATAAGAGAAGTTTTGTTCATCTGCATTGTAACTTCTGCTGTCATTTTGCCATTTTAGATCTCTAAGGCAATGTTAAGGTGATGAACGTGAAGGCAATGGTAAGTGCAGGCACACTTGTGAGCAGCACATATTTTGGCTTGCAAACACTCAACACTTAAAATGTACCAGCAAGTGGAAGCTGCAGCTACAAAAGGACAATGATAGGCCTGTTGGGGAATCCTGCGCTTTCGGCTACTCGCTGTAAAACCCAGCACTTTCCCCAGTGCTGGGTCACGGCTGAATGAGCTCCTCCGCCTGCTACACCGCAGGTGTAACCTCAAACTCTCGGAGGTCAACGGGAAAGTGGCGGTTGCTCCTCCCCAGCAGAGATAAGAACTGCTCGACGGAGCAGGAGGGAGAGCAGCCAAGTGCTTGTTCGCATCTGTCGTGTCCTTACAGGGAGGCAGCTACAACCTTTCTGTAAGTTCTCGTTACTCCAGCGATCCTCACCTGGAAAAACCCGCACAAATAAGGGGCAGGACCTTCCTTCTTTTCTGGCCTGCGAAGCAGGAAAAGTAGCCGGCCTCCTGCTCGGTGCAGCGGCCAGGGGCGCTGCCTCCTCGGGATCCTGCCGCCGGCAGGGCGTGAAGGAGAGTTCGTGCGTTGCCCTCCTTCCTTGGCGGCGGCGGGGCCGGGCTTGTCCCTCCCCCGCCACATCGCCCTCCCGCCGGCGCTGCTGACGTGTCTGCTCCCTCCTTCCCGGCCCGGCTGCCTCCCTCCGCGGCGCTCGCCGACATGGCCGCAGCTGCGCCGCCGGAGCCCCGGCTGCTGCTCGCCCTAATGCTGCTGCAGCTGCTGCTGCTGCTGCCGCTGCCTCCGGGCTCGCGCTGTGCCGCCGCCGCCGCGCCCGACCTGGGCCGCCGCTTCGCCGAGCGCAAGCGCTGCGCCGACCTCGAGTGCAGCAGTGAGTGGGGGCAGCGGGCACGGCCCCGGCCATGGAGTTGTGGGCGAAGATGCCTGCCGGAGGCTCTTCCCTAAGCCCCCTCCTTCCGCCGGCTCGTGCGCAGAAATTGGGGAGGATCGGGGAAACGGGAACGCGACGCTCACGTGCCCCGTCCCTCTACTCGGCCAAGTTTTCCCATCCCCGCAGCTCCGTGTTTCGTTTTCTCCCTCCACTGCAGAGCCCTCTCGTGATAAACCCGTGGATGTTCTCTGGGATAATTCCAGGACCGGTTTGCTAGGACACAGATGTCATCTTTCTGATTTAACATTAATAATTAGCTTCATAGCTTACCCCTGAAGTGTAGTTCTCCAGTGCTTTGTCAAACACTTGTCTTTACTAGCATGCTTCTTTACTTTTTTAGCTATAACTTGCCTTTTAAAAAATTTTAGTTATAACTTGGCTTGTTTGTGTTAATTATAGCTAAAAAATTCTTAGTTATACTTTCAATTTAGTTATATTTTTATTAATTTATTGATTTCTTAGTTGGACTTTCAATTTACTTTATCTCTTGACCCAATCTAGAAAATAGCAAAGTGGAGCATGCAAGGTCCTGTTTACTGCCAGTTGGCAAATACACTTTTCATGTAAATTATTTTAAAAGTCATACTCTTCTCTTTGTTTTCTTTGGACAGTGTTAATGTGCCGAGGGAAGGCCATGCAGGAT